GGAAAAAAAAATGCTTTACTACCTCAGGAAGCTGGTGACCACCGGCCACCCAGCTGTGATCCCAGGATTGATGCACAGGGAAAGAAGCCACCAGATTCCTGGGCTTGTCTCAGATCTTCAGGCAAAGAAAGTTAGCACCAGAGGGGAACAGTTTGTCTCAGTGACGCAGGCCTCTTCTGGACAACTGTGAACTGTGGCAGCCCCTCCTGGGGTCACTGAGGTGACAGGCCTGAGCCGCTGGCTGACCTCCTCAAGCACCTGCAGTATCACTGGATTTTGTCCCAGACTCCTCTGGATGTGCTGGTCTCTTCCCAGTACTAGGGGTTCTCAGCCCCCCTCCCCACCCCCGGCCCCATCCCAGGGCCTTACAAGAAGATCACTTGGCTGCCCACAACCAACACTTGGTCTTTGTTGTGCAGGTGGGCCCGTGCACCCTCCTGCCTAACATTTGTCTCCTCCCTCCCCCACCTCACACTTATACAGACCAAATCCTCAAGGGCCCAGTGGGGACCTTGGCAGGGAGAAAGGGGTCAAACACACATACTTTGCCTACCATCTTCTCAGAATCCTTGAGAAATCATACAGTACGCTTTTGTTCTAATTGTTAAGTAGTTTTACTTTGTTTCCACACATTATATGTTCTTTAAGAACAGAAATCTTATCCTTTAGTTCTCTCTTATCTCCCCTCTCTGTTTCATGGTGTTTGATTTAAATTTGAAATTCAGTAAATATCATCTGCTTCCAGAATCCACTTAGATCCCCTTTACAGGCAATTCCAAGTCATACCTCTAGGTGGGGCATGTGATATACTCCTCCTGCCTGAGAAAAGCAGGCCAGGATTCCATCTGAATTTTGATCGCTTCTCAAGTTTGGGATGGATCTGCCTCATGCGAAAGAAGTGGGTAAAAAAAACTCCCTTAAGCCTTAAGAACGTGTTTTTATGGGTGAGGGAGAGAAAGAGTAACTTCCCTGCCCCACATCTCACAGCATTAGCAAAGTGAAATGTTTATTTCAGAAAGTGAAAAGAACAGATGTCAGGAAGGAAAAAAAATGTGCTAAGAAAAAAAAAGATTCTTCAGCCAAGAGTTTATCATCTGGGGTTTTGATTTAAAATTCCACTCAGATGCTATTTGTTAAATGCCACTTAAAAAAAAAAAGAGTCCTGCCCCATTCCACCTCCACGACTGGCTGGAAAACATACTTTGGATGCTTCATTGACCTTGTCTGTCCATCTTGTTCCACTGAAATGAACAGGTTATTTTCTTTAAAGGTAAATGCCTGAAACTCTTTTTTTTTTATAGATGCTAATAGATTAGATGAAACTGCTCTCTGTGACCACTACTCAAGGGTTAAAGATCAAAGTTCACACTAGCTTTGTTAAAGTATAACTGGGTGCCTCGCTCAGGGCGGCGTGACGCTGATTCACCCCTAATGCTGCCCTTGGAGGCAGGCAGAATGATGAATCCAGGGGGAATCCTTAATCAACTTTAAAAATTGCCTTCCTCCAACACTGATGAGAAACCCAGAGAACTTTAAATGCATCTTTCATTTTGGAGAAAAAAATATAGTGACTCTGGTTAATGAAAGTATGATTCAGATTAGCTAACCAGATAAATGGCACTGAATTTTGCAAAAGAAGTAACTCATGAGACACACACTGGGCTATAGGCGGGAGTGCTTCCTGCCCCGTGTGCTTCTGCTTAACCAGGCTTTTCCAGCACAAGCGTCGGCCATGGACCTTTCCACAGGGGTCTGCGCCCGAGACTTACCCAGAACGTAAAAGCACATACACTGACAATGACCCTAGTTAGGAAACTGCAACAGTGTGACCAGTTTCAGTGAGCTTTTTGGGCTGGCTGGACTGGGAAGAGGTGAGCTCCCACTGTCTGGTTAATTGCCCATTGACGTGCCTTTTTTAGGAGGAAGTGAAGGAGAGACTGGTGGGTAATGTTTGAGATCCTTAGATTATAGGAGGAAGGTTAGAGCCTGCCAGAACCATTTCATTACTTCCTTCCCAACTAGACTCGTAACAGGGCTAGAAGCAGCTAGACCTACTCAAAAGAGACTTAAAAAGGCAAAACTTTAAAGGCTCAGGTGACAAAATATGTCATGGAGTTTGGAGAAGGCTGAATTCGGGGCTATCTATGCCCTGGAGTCAGCAGTACTGCATGCTAACAGTTTGATTGGCACCTTTGGGAGAATGTGGCAAGATAGGAGTGTCTTCCTAGGTGATTGCAAGGCTGGTGCTCTTATCCTGAGTCAGCTTCATAAAACAGTTAATGTACACAAGCAAGAGAGGAAAACAGAACAGATGCCATACAGGGGCCTGAAAATGGCCTAATGATGCTCTAGCATTTGTCCAATTCCTAACAGCGAGCATCCTTCTTCCCTAAGTTAGTGGAAAAACTAATATACTTTTTGTTGAGAACTTACCTGCAACAATCACTTAGCAAGGACTATCTCAACTCTTCTTCACAGAAATCCCATGGTGTGTTAATATTGCCAACGACATTTGATAGGTGAAGAAACTGAGGCCCAGGGAGGATAAATAGCCAAGGTCTCACAGCTAATAAGAGGAAGAATTAAGTTTAAACCTGAGCATTTTGATACCAAAGCCCATGGCTGTAGACACTGTAACTGACTATTTTTCAAAAGCAGAAATCCCCCATTTATGTAAATGGGTGCTGGATGGAAGTATTATCTTTACTATCTCAGATGGAAAAAAAAAGCACATATGGGGGAAGGGTATAGCTCAAGTGGTAGAGCACATGCTTAGCATGCACAAGGTCCTGGGTTCAATCCCCATTACCTCCTTTAAAATAAATCAGTCAACACAATTATCTCCTCCTCCAAAAAAAATTTTTTTAATAAAAATAAAAATCACCACCATAAATTTCTAGGTAAACTACATTAAAAAAAAGAAGAAGAAAAGAAAAAAAATTACGTGTGACAGAAGCAAAGGTGTAAATAGCACAGGGAACAAAGTGATTAAGTCTGGGTTTATGTACCTCATTAAGGAGATCCCTGCAGGAGATGAAGAAAATGAATGAGATGTTGTCAGGCAAATAGGACTGGAAAGGGGAGTGCAGGCAGAAGGGAAACGCGTGCAGTTGCTGGACAGCACTGCACAGTGTGACGTGCTGGTGTAACCGGAAGCAGATTGATTTAGCTGGAGTGTAAGTCACAGGTGAGGAAACGAGGCTGGCCAGGTAAACCAGAGTCAGATCTGGTCCGATGGGGACATTGGGAGATGCATTCTCCCTGGTGTGGCGGGAAGAAGCTTTTATCCCATAGACAATGTCAAGTCACTCTAAGATTCTAGGCATTGGATGTACATGTGTGAGGATGACACTGACATAGCAAGGGTAAGAAATCGAAAATGGGTAACTACTATATTATTTTCCACAGTAGGGTCACTTCAGTTCATTTTGACACTCAACAGTAGCCATTTCAGAGGAACTCATGCAGCCAGGGGGCATTAAATGGACTCAAGTTCCCTCTAAAAGCCTCACACATTTCCCTGCAAGGTACTCAGCATAGAAATGGAGGTTTTGTCCCTACTCTCCTACAGCTTTGATCCTTCCTCCACCTGATTTCCAGGAATTTAGAACATCGCTGTTGTCTCTTGTTTCAGACTGCTTGTCTGTGATGCATCAAGATACATTTCTCAGTATTTACAAGTGCACTTCGAGATTTCAATAGAGAGTTGACTTTCCTGGTGCGAGTAAGTTGACAATCTTGGAAACCCTCACACTGATTCTGAATAGGGAGCTGAAGTCTCTTCACCACTAGCAGGTCAATTTTCTGTTTCACGCTAACAAACATATATATTATATATATATTACATATATAATACACATATACAAATACAGTTATGTGCATATAGATGTATATGTATCTGTGTATACATGTATATACACATATATCTTAATTTTATTTTTAAACTTTATTGCAAATTAAAGGAAACTATTATCCTAACATTTTGGGGTTTTCTAACTTACAGGTTAGCAGTACATAATTAATAGAGTTGTTATAAGACTTAAATGACATGGCATACGATGAGCCTCACACAGCCTGACCCAGAGCAGATACTTGCTCACAACTCCACCCTCCTCAGCCCTAACTGATTAAAATTGGAAGTAGGGAACTCCATGCTGTATTCTTCTGGGCAATGTCAAGCAAAGGATTGGAGTCTATCTGTGAAAAGGAATTTTTTTGTCCTTCGTAATGAGGGAGTTCAGAGATGGCTGGATCCAGGGCCTCAATCAAATGAGGTCGGTTAAAGCGCCTCCTCCCCTCCCCCTCTTCTTGCCTCCCCTCCTCTTCCTTCCTCAAGGTTGCCTTGATGCGCAGGAGTCTTACTCCCAGAAGTGACAAGGCAGCTCTAAACTTCACCTTTACTAACTGAGCAGTCTCCAAAGGGACTTCTTTCCAAAGCTTCCTCGAGAATGTCCCAAAAGGCTGGTGTGACCCAAAAGCCATGGAAATCCTGAGAATCACTAGAAAATAATCATCACAACGCCTTGTGTCCGATGGGTGCACTGTGACTAGAATACTGCATGGAATTCTGGTCAACTCCAAGGAAAAGAAATAAGCTGACAAATGTTCCAACGAAGGCAGTTGTTCTGAACAAAGCTGTGCAAAGGACTCCATATTGGGTCATAAAATATAGATTTGATTCTAGCCTAGAAAATTGAGAGCCTCAAGCTTGCACATAGCAAGTCTTTCTATAGGAGAATAAATTAGAAAATCCAATGACCAGCGCCCTTATAAGAAAAGAAAGACACAGAGACACACAGGAGGAAGGAACTCACGTGAGGGCAGAGGCAAAAATTGGAGTGATGCAGCGACAAGCCAAGGAAGTCCAGGAATTGCTGGCAGCCACCAGGAGCTGGGGAGAGGCAGGGACAGATCCTCCCTCAGCACCTCCAGAACCATGAGAAAAAAAAATTCCCTTGTTTAGACATTCAGTTTGCGTTGATTTGTTTTGGCAGCTGTCAGAAGCATATATAGATGACAATATGTTGCAATGAAATGGAAATTAAAATTCTGCCAGAAGATCTTAGTTTCATTCGGTCTGCCTTTTCACAACCCATGGAGAAGCCAGTTATCGGCTGACAGCTTCCTTTGTCTTATCTGTAAAACAGGAATAACAATACTTCTTCTGTTAACTTGGCGGTTATAAGAAAACTAAATCAAATCTTTTTTAAGCTACACTGGATATTCCATAGGGTGTTTAGTTGAACTTGAGGGTCTATAAAGATGGATTCTATGGTGAAGTAAGTTTAGAAAATCCTACATTATGACTTTTCTCCAGAAGACTCACAACACAGGTTATTATATAAAAGAAAAAAGAAGACTTGTAATTTGGAATCTATTTAGTCTTATTTAACCCAATTTTTTTTCCAAATTTCTTTGACCATAAACTATATCCTTTGAGAGACTCTTATTGATATTTTGTAGATGTTCGCATTGCTTTGAGCACAGTTTTGGGAAACACTACACTATGCTATTGTAAGATACTCTGTCTTTGGGGGATACACACTTAGGAGTGATTCATGTAGGATAAAATTAGAAACACTTGGGAAATCTGCGGAAAGCATCCACACATCCTCGAGGCAGCTTCCCTGCTTTTGCATCTTGCCCTTGTGTCTTCTGTTGGGTGGAACTGGAAGAGCTGTGCGAATGGAGTAACAGTTTGATAAAATGCATACTCCACCCCCAAGTCCAGGAGCAACAGAAGTTCCTCTGTCTCCAGAAGGACGGCAGGAAAACAAACATCATATTCTGGGCCCCGTGACAGACAATTTCACACGAGTCATCTCGTTTCATTGAAATCTTTGTGGTATTAACGCTTGTACCCTAAAACTTACACGTGAAGATGTTTAGTTATAAACATATATTTCCTTTAACACCAAAACCAACTTAAAATTACATTATTTATTAGCACTTTTATTGGCAATAGAACATAAAATAGGCCTTTAACAGTTTAGTCCCAAATCTCAGATCATGTATAGTTTGTATTAGAAAAACCCTTTTAGGACTTTCATCTCATTGAACCATCAACTATCCCAACAACTCTGAGCTATGAGCTAATTCATTCACTGTCATCACTGTGGGAGTAAAGCAGTGACTGTAAGAGACACAGTCCTGACTTCCTGGAGCTTGTATCCCAGAGGAAGGAGACTCAGCACAAAGAAAGAAATGAGTGTAAATATATGTCAGGTGAACATAGCACCATGGAGAAAGATTCAGCAGGGAAGTAGAATTGAGAGCAAGGTGAGTGTGTCATTTTATTTTATACACGTGGTCAGAGAAGGCCTCACTGAGGAAGAGACTTTGAGCAGAATCTGTGGGAAGTGCAGGACTAGTCAGGATACCTAGGGAGAGAGAAGAGGGTACCAGGCAGAGGAGACAGCAAGTGCAATCAGCCTGCCCGCCATGGGAGAATGCTAGTGTATTCATGGAGCAGCGAGGAAGCCCATTGTAGCTGGAACAGAGTCATTCGAGGGTAGAGAAATAAGAGAGGAGGTCAGCCAATGGAAAGTGGGATGAGGACACAGTAAAGACCTCACAGCACATGACAGTTAGACTTTGACTTGGAATGAATTGAGAAGCAATTTAGAGTTTTGAGCAGAGAAGTGGTGTGATATGACTCACATTTACCAACATCATCTACGTGGTGATTATGACTCTGGTGTGGGAGAGAAGACTGTGGGAGCAGGAAGATCAGTTAGAGACTGTTAGTCCGAATTACTCTACTTGAGAGATGATGGGGGCTCAGACCAGGCTATTGTTGTACAGGTGTTGAGAAGAGTGAATGTGTTTTGGAGGCAGAGCTGACAGGATTGGCTGATGGCTAGCGTGTGAGGTATGAGAGAAAGAGAGGAGTCAAGGAAAAATGTGGAGTTTAAACCTAAGCATCTAGAGTGGTGGAGGGTATAGCTCAGGGGCAGAGCGCATGCTTAGTATGCACAGCATCCTGGGTTCAATTCCCAGTACCTCCATTAAAAACAAACAAACAAAAAGCCACCTAAGCATCTAGAGAGATGTAGGTCCATTAGATGAGATGAAATGACTAGGTAGGGGCAGGAATTTTTTCCTTTTTTTTTGGTTGGGGGTTTGGGGGTTGGTGTGGTGAGCGAGTGGAGATGGAAGAATCAAAAGTGTGGTTGGGGACAAATTTTATTTCATATACCTTTTAATATTCAAGTGGAGATGCTAAGTAAGCAGTTGGATATACTAATGTGGTGATTAGGATGCAATCCGGGCTTTGAGTCATCTGCTTATAAATGAAACTTCAATCCATGAGATGAGATGAGGTCACTCAAGAATTGAGACTGGACAAAGAAGAGTAAAGGGCAGGGGACTGAAACTTGGGGTACCTCAATATTTGGAAGATCATTTTTAAAATTTATTATTTATTTTTTATTGAAGTAACATTGTATAACTTAAAACGCAAGTTTCACGTGGACATTGTTGTTCTACCATTATACACCTTATAGCGTTCTCACCACCAAAAATTTTAGTTTCCATCCATCACCATACAGAGGATCCCATTACCTATTTCCCCTTCCCCATCTGGTAACCACTAATCTGTTCTCTGTATCTATGTGTTTGTTTTGTTGGATTTGTTCTTTTATTTGTTTTTGTTTTTTATATTTCACATATAACTGAAATCATAAGGTCTTTGTCTGAGAACATCTGACTTACCTCTCTTAGCATAATGCCCTCAAGGTCCATCCTTGAAAATAGAAGATCATTTTTATACATGAGGCTCAAAGAGATATGGTACCTTGGCTTGGGTGGCATGGCTGGAAAGTGAGCAAGCCACCGTACTTTATCAAAGGCAGTGAAGTTCCTCATCATTTGGCACATTTATTCTCCTGTCATGGAAAAGACAAGTTAGCAGGGAATCTGGAAATGCTGTTCCTGCCTCCTGAGGAGGAGGTAAAAATGAAAGGATGCTAATGAACCCTGGTGAACTAGCAAGAACTGATATTTTAGTCATACTGATTTCACTAGGCATATAAAGCCAGATAGTCTTTTGACTTCTTGGGGTACAGAAGAAAAGCTATAGATTCAAGATCATAAACATTATGTACCATATTCTGCACTATATGCAGTCATGGATTGAGTGCTACTCCAACAGGCATTTTGCTAATCATTTCTATGCTGGATACTTTCCATGCTCTCTGTATCCACTCTCCATCCTGGTCACCATCTCTGCTCTGTGCCCGGAGACACTGATCAACGTGGACCACATCAGGTGACTCCCTTATTCTCTGTTCTACACAACCATCCTTCCAGATTGCAGTCCTTATCTTCTCCACTTCTCTCCACTCCCTTAGGCCTCTACTGCTCACCTGCAGACACGGTACTCAACATTGTGTTGCCTCCCCTACATCCTACCCACAACTTCATAAATTGCCCCTTTCTTAAGTTCTCTTCAAATTACCCCTATTTGAGTGTCTTACCTTTTCCTTTGGGAAACTTGAGTAACATAGCTGTAGAATGTTGTCTCCTTAGCCGTCCCTCCTTTACCACATCACTATGATGTAGGTATAATCCCCATTTTACAAATGAGAAAAGAGGACATTTGCCTGAGTTCACACAAAAAGGGGCGGAGTCTGGATTTGAGCCCAAGTTTGTCTGACTCCAACGCCATGCTCTCAAACATTTCGGTGTATTGCAACCAGAAAGCAATTCCGATCAACAGTAACTGTACAACCTTAAGCAGTTACGTAGTTATAAATAAATCAACCCACAATGTCTTAAAAAGTAAAAAAAAAAAATCACTCATTATATGCCAGCATTTCATAAGCATGAGCTCATTTGGTGCTTACTTTAACCCCATCATTATCACCATCTCAGAGATAAGGAAAGTGAAGCTCATCCTCTAAATATTCCTAAAGGAAAGAGCTTTCACAGAAAAGCCTCAGTGAGCAATCTGACTTTTATTAAAGACACAAGGGTAACACACAGGGAGAGGAATGTCCATATACTCCATTGCAAACAAATTAATAACTTCCTAGTACTGTTTTTCTTCAAAGCTCCTTCTGGTCTGCCATCTGTGAGCCTCTAGCTTTTCTTCCTCCGCTGATCCTGAGCTCTACTCTGACCATCTCATTCTCTTCTCTCCCAGGTACCCTCCCTGCCCCAACATTTTCTGTACTTTTCCCATTTGCACAAATATCACTGTTCTATTCCAAATATATACCCCAAAGTGCACACTTCAACCCATCCTGGTTTGGATTGTGGGTGAGCCTTCTCTTTAGCATAATCTAACTTCTTAAGAGAGTAGTTAGAATTGTCAATCATGTATTATCTATCTATCTATCTACCTATCTATCTATCTATCATTCTCTATCTAGGTATGAATTTTTCTTTATCTATGGATGTATTTTCAACTAATCAATAGTTAGTCTCCTGAACAGTGTAGAGTGAGATTTAACTTCCAGACTTACAAGTTGTCCTGCAGTGATTTCATGGATGCTGTCTGAGGATAAAGAGAAATGAAAAAGAGAAAGAGGGAGAGATTTAGCATTTATAGAATTCCTCAAGGTCACAACCAACAAATGGCAGAACTGGGAATGAATGCTCCAAAGTCTGTGTTAACTCTTTCATTATATTGCAGTGAGAACACATAGGCACAAAATGTTTTTTTCCTCATTGACAAGGAAGAAAAATACTGTCATATTTAATATGCAAGTTAGTTTTAAGCATTTTGAACAGATTATACTTCTCTGCCTGGAATGCCATAAAACTGACCACAACTTCCTGCATGTTTGTGGACACTGCATGCTGATTATTTCCGTGGTCAACATCTTTTGTAAGCAAAGGCAGATCAAGGTTTGGCCGTCGGGCTCTTCTATGCATTTGACAGTTATTGTGACTTGCCAATCGCTGATCAACAAACCAGGATTTTCTGAGGACCCATCTCGTGCCCAGCCCTGAGCTGGAAACTTTGCGTGGGATATTTAAAATATGACTTATGTTCTCATTTTCTGCCTTTAAGAAATATACAGCTGGGGAGCCAAGACAGAATATATAAAACAACCATTCGCAGTATAAGATAGTACATGCTTGTGTGTCAAATTTCATGTGTGACTACAAACATCAAAGGAGAGCAAAGTGGTTCGGCGTGTTCATGGGTGTTCATGGGGGAGCTGGGCTCACATCCTTGTTGATGGAGCTCTGGTTCCTCTCTTTCTGGTTTCAGGAGACTAATTACTAGAGGTTAATCATTAGCTACCAATCCTTCAGCCCAACATTATTTTGAAAGAAATTTGAAGTGAAAATGGTGACTTTCTAAAGGTAGTAATTGTCTTAAACAATGTTTTCCAACTAGTGCAGAGAGGTTCTTGCCATTTGAGGTGTCTGAAGGCGGTTAATCAGAGCAGGTGCCTCTTGAAAGCTGCTTCCGCAGTTCACCTAGATCATTGGTCATTCCTCAGCAGAATTCTTAGAATCTCAGCTCTCTTTAGACTGCTCCACAATCAAGGGTCCCCAGGCTATAAGAAAGGCACACCAGATTTCCCCCAAGTCTCCTCCTCGGCTCCCCACTCAGCTCTGGGCTTGGTTCCTTCCAGTGATAAAGTTCAGGCAATGCAAAATGATCAATCCAAAGCTTTGTGGGTCCAGGCCTTTCAGACCCTGCCCATGCCTCGTGTGTGACCTGTTAGGGTCATGTAGCATGTTTGACTCAGTACAGAACTATGTGCCTTCGAGTCCTAGTTCACAATCACAAGCTCTTACAGGGTCACCAATGGAGAAACGATTGTGGGAGAGAAAAGAAACTATTTTCTTTTTTCTAGTGTTACTCCTGAAACTTTTCCCCTCTATTCTTGATGAATCCTTCTGCTGACCCAAAAAGTAGAGTCATCCTGCCAATTCCTCCCTAAGTAGCCACCACTTGGTTTGCTCCAGGTGCCTGACCCGGAAATCTGAATATGTATGAGAAAGTCTAAACACCTAGGTGGGTGGGGGGCGGTTGAAGGGTAGGGTCCACTCGTCTATGTTGGTCAGATGTGCTGGTACATTTATAGAAAAAAATCAACATGGACTGGGTAAAAGGATATTTTGGGTCTCCTTTTAAAACTCAAAGCAATAACATAGACCCTGGCAGTCAAGTTTCAAAAGGCCAGCAGCATAATTAGTCTGTTAGAGTCTCAGCAGTTCATATTATTTAGGGATTTAAGGAAAGGCATTGAAATGCCATAAACATAATCCACAAAACAAAGTTTTTGGAGCTCTTTGTTTTGAATTTTGTTTTTCTGTCTTTAAAGAAAACAGGCCCTGGCCTTTATGAGTCTCTCCATAGGGAGGGATTCCATTTCAGAAGCTTGGGTTTTAAAGAAATAAACCAGATTTAAAGAAATAAATAAACTACACTGAGGTCTCACCAAGAGGTGATGTTTAGAAGCTGACTGTGTCTGAAGTAAGCAGGGAATTCGGGCTGAGACCACTAGCGTTTACTAATTTTCGTAGACAGGTGGCAATAACCCATGTGGTGTGACTTCTGGAAGACTGCGGGGCACACATCCTTTCCTAAAATCAATCTACCATGCTTTGCTACTGTTTTAAAAGTCACGACTTGTTCTAAAGTGGTGATTTTCCGAGTGTGTTTCCTGAAGCCCAGGCTTCTTTATCAGTGCCTGTGGGGCTGTGGAGGAATCCAGGCGGGTGGTCTCCGGGACCACACTCTCGCTTGATTCCCATTTATTCGTATTTTATTTGTTGAAATATCTACAAGCAAATAGATTGAAATATTTAGTTTGTAAAAAGGGTTTTGCTAAAAAGTAAAAACAAGAACAATAAACCATCAACAAATTTAGGAAGATTCTGAGTCAAGTGGTGACTTTCAGTTGACAGTGTATGAACCTGCCCAGTGCCGTGTGGGGAAAGAAGATGAGAGAACCTTCACTGCAGTCACCCAGCTCCCTTAGCAGAGAGCAGGGCTCTGAGGATGGCAACCCCATGTCTAAACGATGGGGATGGGGAGGACTGGGACGGGTTAGATGTCCAAAAGGAATGAGGAAGACTAAGGAAGGCCAAGCCCCAGGGAGGTGACACATTTTAGGGACTTGGTAGCGTACACTGCGTAAGAACATGGAGATTTCTACAGAGGATCCTAAAAAGGGCAGAGAATGTTGAAAAGAGGTGATAACATAGGACTGAAGAGTCAACTGAAATGCCATGTAAACAACTTCAGATAGCAAGTGAGGAGAGAGCCCTAAGATCAAGATGCAGATTTCAAAGGAGTTTGCTCAAAACCAGGTACGTGATTTGGGACCGTCACCCACTTCAAGGGTATAGATTCCCCAAATTAGAAACAAAAAGGACGATTGGTGGGGAGGGGTAGGAGGGTATAACTCAGTGGGAAAGTGTATGCTTAGCATGCACCAGGTCCTGGGTTCAATCCCCGGTAACTTCATTTAAAAATATAATAAATAAACCTAATAACCCCTCCAAATTTTTTTAAAATAAAAAAGGAGGAAGATTTAAGAGAAAGTTGCAGATAGAGAAAGCTGTTCTGTGAGTTTTACACCCCTCCTCACTTGGAGTCTAGCAGGAGGGGTTTCAAAGGAGAGCCCTCAGAGTACCTGCTTCTGTTGCCTGAGTTTGAGAAGGTCCTCTGACAAATGCCAATGGCCTTCCGGTGCTCTGGGAGCAGGGGGAACTGCAGCTAGGAAATAGTTTTGCTCCCCTCTGACTGCAGGTCAAGATTTGTGACGCCAAAAGCCAAGTGGAGACTCCTGGGAAGGGAGGCCCACCTGGGGCCCTTTTATGTACCATCCTAAAGACGTGCCTGAAAGAACTTTTGCCAGAGGACAAGGGGTTTGGGACTGCAAGGATCTGGGTAAAATGAAGCGCCAGAAAATCAGAGGCTGAAGGGTGATCAGAACAAAAGTTCAAAGGTGAGGAGAACTGTTGTCTGGTACCGTCTGAGGGGTCAAGAAGGGTGGGAGTCTGGGGGACTATCTGTGAGGCTCTGAGAGCAAAAAGGCAGCTCGCAGGCATGACAACCAAGCAGATTTTTTCTTTCCCCTTTATCTGTCTTTTCTCTCCTATCTTCAGCCCCAGAGTCAGAAACAACAGCCACTGAGTGACAGGAAAGAGCGCCAAGGACGGAAGAAGCCATCACACCCTTTTCTCCAGAGGCAGGCCTGTCCGTTGCTGGCACTAGTGAATGAAGGACAAGCCTTATCTGTGAATGTAAACTGTAGTGCTAATTCATATATTATGACTGAAGATGTTAATTTCTGAAATAAGACCTAAGAGACTGATAAAATTAGAATGACCAGAAATGTCATAGTGCTTGACAGTTTTCTTCCAAAGGTGGAAAAAAATCTTCCACAGTGAATTCATCCTAAAGTGACCATGGTGGGGAAAAATGCCTTTCAGTTATAAGCCCATTAATCAGGCTTGTTTATTGCACCAGTTAAAAGTGCTTCTAGGATAGCTGATCCCACCCCAATGCGATGGCCAGGGCAGGTCTTGACCTTGAGCTGAAAAGTAAAATGCCACACATGGCAGTCAGGGGAACAGTGATCAGAGGAAGGATTCATGGAGGATTTGGGAGGTTGATTGTATGGTTGCTTGTTTGCTGTCTTTTAGTTTTTCCTTGCAGATAGTATTCAGCCTGGAAAGTCTTTTGATTTCAGCACATGCAAGCATTCTACGTGACCCCACCTACTGCAGTAGAAAGGCTATCTTGAGTATTCAGACCATACATACAGACATATCTGTATATCATACCATGTATTCATCTCTCTCTATATATATATACATATCACGTGGCTGTGAGCTACTTGATTTTATATATTTATATATGTATAAATATATATGTATAGAAAGATCTATTCTTATTTGTTGGGTTTTTTTTGTTTTGCTTCATTTTTTTTAAATGGACCCAAAGAGAAAGTTAAGGGAATGATGCTTGATTTACAGGGAGAGAGAAGGCAATGGTCTACTTACCCTAACTCTAAAAGTCCTTCTGTTTTCTTTTCTTTATTTGGTTTTCGGGATCGGGGAAGAGTAGTTCGTCTCCTTTCAAAATAGCAACTCTCTGGATCTGTCCTTATTCACTTCTCTCAGTAAGACCATGGACAACTTCTCAATAATGGGAAACACAGTCACAAAAGAAAGAAAAAAATTAATCTCAGGGGAAAAAGAGATCCATATCCATATTCAAGGACCAAAACAAAAGGCACAGTGTAACAAGACATCATCTATTCGACACAGCAGAAATCAGGACTGGAAAATGGTTCAAGAAATACATGAGAAAAACTGCTTCTCGGCCTCTTGGCTGAAATCAAGAGTAGTATCTAGTCTCATGGGTTTACCATCTGATAGGTTCTCTATCAGAGGGCAATATACTTTGTGGATTTTTGGAGCAGGAACTTGCTCCATCCACTCCATGCATGGACTTAGTACTGCAGCACCTCCAGGAATGGGTGCACCCCCTCTCATCACATTGGTTGCAAACAGCACACTTTCTCTGCTTCTCTTCATCACTCTGCTTCTTCCTGGGAAGGTCCTTCTCTTCGGCGCTGAGCAAGTGAGGGGTGCAGCTTTTCTCTGCTTTCCCGCGAGCTTTCCCACAGCCTCCGCCCCCTGGACCATTCCGGGCGGGACTGTCTGGGTTTCCTTTTCTTCCCTTTTCTTCCCTTTTCTAGCCTCACTAGCGTGACTTGCAGCAAGTTAATGGCTCTCCTTAGTTTGAGTATGGTGTTGACCTCGGCGGGTTTTTAGCGAGGGACTGGTGAGTGTCTTCGTTATTCCCACTCTGTGCCGCAGCTGTCATTTCCCAAGGCTCTTTACTGGGGCGCTTAGAGTTGCAACACCCCCAAATCTGGGAACAGGCTTTATCCGACTCTGCCGTGCTGGCGGCTCCAGGTAACACTGCTGAAGTAGGTGGCGGGCAGGCTTCAGCTGCCTTCCAGGCTCCATGCCCTTCACGAGTTCAAACTCCGCTGACCACCAGCTGTTTACACCTTCAATGGTCTGCCCCTGCCATCCTGCCCCCGGGGGTGCCTGTGGTTACCAGAAGCCCAGGCCTCCCGGCTCTTTCCCCGCCTCACGTTTCCAGTCTCTTACTCCATAAAGCTCTGTGTCTTCTCTCGGACCTCTTCTCCACCCCCGCTCAGATTTCTGAAACCTTGTTCTTCTGACCAACCCCCTCAAATCTCAACCTCCCTTCTACTTTTAAAAAAAAAAAAAAAAAAGAAGTTACAGGAAAAACATATATGAGAGCCCTGTTTCCTTGGAGTTTTAAGAAGCACTTCTAATGAGTTGTTTTGTTCATAAGATATTTCATAAGCAGTCTTCTGGAAAAAAAATCCAGTTCTGTTCCTTGACCCACAGATAAGGAAAAAGCTTGTGTGTCATGAAGACTGGAGGGAGCCTTGTGCATTTCTGCATCCAACAAAAACAAGAGTGGCGTTGATCACTATCAGCTCAGGTTCCCACCTTCTCACAGGCAACACCAAGGTGCATTTACTCATCCATGCACTTAATAAGCTCCGAGAGTTGAAGTCCATGACAGTTTAGAGGACAAGCCCAGGCTCCCTCCCATTACTGGCTGGGTGATGGTAACAACGTCACTTAATCTCTCTAGGTCTCAGTTTCCTTGCTTTAAAGCAAAAATGGTGCCAGTCCTGACCTCAAAGGATTTTTGTGAAGATTCAATAAGCTCATGTTGGTGTGATGGCCATTATAAAGAGCTGCTCGTATTTTATGCTTTGGGAGCATAAATTGATGAACAACCCCAGTAATTGTTGTTTTGGATCCACTACCATGTAGTCCTACAAGGCTTATGTGCCAGTGACCACGCACACATGGTAGTGGTACCAATGCAGGCCATTGAATAAGAGATGAGACTCCCTCAAAGATGACTTTGGTTCAAAGATTTCCATTGACTTGGCAGAACATTTCTTGAAATTGCTCTGCAGCTTGAGACTCCTCCTCCCCAGTCTTCCATCGTCCTCTCTTCCTCCACAGGCGTCAGACTGTGGTGTGAAGATTCCTGCCACTCTCTGCTACTTCCTCCCCTTTCATTCTTTACAGGTTTTTCACCCACAATAAGCTGTTTTAATTTTACCCAATCTTAAGGTATTCAAACAGACATAGTTGGTACAAACCAACATCTAGGACACCTAGAACACCTAGATCCTGTACAGCCATATCTGGTACATAGTACATACTCAATAAATAGCACTTTTTGTTATTAGCAAATAGAGAGCTAGGTAGCATAAACATGAATGTTTGTGGGAATTCAGAGGAAGGAAAAATCATTTCAAACCAAGACAGTCAAAGATTTCATACATGGGATAGATTTAGAGCTAGCTAGAAGAATCAGTAAAGTGAGGTTTGTTGAAGATTGGGGACAGACAGTGTGAGCTAGAAGAATAATAAAAGCAGAAACACAGAGGCTGGGGACTGGAGGTGCTTCCAGATTGGCTGGAGTTGTAGGCTGCATGTGCTGTTGTAATGCAATGTAAGTCTAGAGAAATAGATTGAGGAGAAACTGTGGAGTGCGTTGATATTAATCAGCTTTGCTACTGTACCAAGCAAATCCCAAACTCCAGTGGCCTACAGCAGCCAACATTTGTTTCTCATTTGTGTTACGTGTTGGTGGCTGCAATGGCTCTGGTATCACATGTCTTCTCCTCTTATTCTTTGATTCAGACCAAAGGATCTGCTTCAACTTGGGAAACCTGGTTTCCCAAGGCACAGGCCTAGCAGAAACATACAATAGCTTTTGAAGCTTCTGCCAAAGACAAGGAAGACATCTATCGTGTCTGCTCATATTCTATTGGCCAGAATAAATCATACGACCAAGTCTGACGTCAGCAGAGCAAAGAATACCCCTCCAGCACAGGAGGCACCAGAAGTCATTGCCACAGACGAGGATGTATAATCCTCTGTCAAAAAAGAGGGCTAAATAGTTAGTAACAATAAATCAGTCTGCCATAGGTAAGGA